TGTAAAGGTTAACCCATTGCAGTTTCAGCTTTCCTTAACCTTTTTAAGGATAACCATTGTTGTATCCTTAGATTTGCACTCTTGATGAGTTTTGAATGCTCAATCAGATTAACTGAACACTACCCTACCCCTGGGTTCAAAAATAAGGTTTTTTTTTAAGAACAGAAAAAGAAACTCCTACTCCGAAGGATCAACGAGGGTTAACGAGCGTCTATCTCCCTTATATCTCTAGTGTTTGGGGATTTGAAACAATACATGTACATCGTCAGCAGGGTTTTATTCAAAAGCATACCGTTTGAGATTCTAGGTATATTTCTCATCATCCCCCCAGAGGTTTTTCTTTATTAACAAGAGTTGAATATCAAAAGCAAGTAAAATGATAAAAACATAAATGAGTGAATACGAATGGATTAATTCAAGATAATCATATTCAATGCATTGTGATTTAATATTAAAAAATAAACAGTTTTGCATACAAGAAAGTATTGAACAAAACAAGTAAGATTACAATGAGAATACAAATGAAAGTAGAAATTGCCAAGTAGAGGGGACTTCTTCGGGCTTATTGCTTCAAAAGATGCACTTTTTCATCTTGAAACATGTCTGAGTAAGAGGATTCAATCCATTATTAGACCCTTTAGAATGAATATGATAGCTTTGGCATCAAGGAGGTCCTGAACGTTGTATTTCAATGCCCTACAATTCTCAAATGTGTGGCATGGGGCCCCTGAATGGAATTCACAATAAGCATTGGCATCATAATTCTGAGGGAGAGAATATTGAGAAGGACCAAGCACTCTCAGCTGGACAAACTAGGATTTTAACAAATGGGGGAGGAGGTAAGCATAAGGCATAGGTATATGATCCATCCTTCTCTCAGGACCTTTCTTCCTCTTATGTCCTCATTGCCCCTGGGGTTGTTGATTCAGATGAAGAAGTTAATATTTTGTTTGCTGAGCATACCGTTGTCTCTGTATGTACTGCTGTTGATGAGGGACTCAATGATGCCCGACCACCCTAGGTTGTTGAGCTGAAATTATAGCATATGCTCGAGGAACATAACGATTAGGATGAACAACTGATGCCTGACGGTATGGAGCTTGATCTTGATGATAGGCCAGGGCCTTCCCTTTGTCAATAGTAGTACTAGTCTCTCCTTATTTCTTCTTGAGAAGGCCAAAATAAGGTTTCTTGTTACTTCCACTGATAGTGCTAGATGCACCCTAAAATTTTCCTGACTTGATGCCATCTTCAATATGTTCCTCAATGGTAACCAAGTCAGAAAAGGAAGTTGAAGTACTACCAAGCATGTGTTGGAAGTATGGGTCTTGCAAGGTACCCATGAACAAATCAGTCAATGCACGATCCTAGAGAGAAGGTTAAACCCTTACAGCTAATCCACGCCCCCTATGGGCGTACTCTTTAAAGGACTCTTCATATTTTTTTCTACCCTGAGTTGTGCACGACTAGAAGCCATAGCAGTGTCGTGGTGGTAATGTTTAAAGAAATCATCAACAAGCTCTCCCCAAGTATTGACATGAGTTCTCTCTAACTGCATATACCATTCTAACGGTGCCCTGGTCAGGATGTCTTGAAAGAAGTGCATGAGCAATGGTTCATTATTAGCATGAGCTCCCATCTTACTACAATAGTGACGAATATGAGCTTCTGGACAACTAGCGCCTGTGTACTGGTCAAAATCAGAAAACTTGAACTCTGAGGGGATAACAATCTCAGGTACTAGGCATATGGTAGTGGCATTGAAACCAAAAGTCTTAGAAGTTTCCATGGAATCAAGACGCTTCTTAATAACATGAGTCATTTTAGTAGTTTCAGAGGATCAACAGTGAGATCACCTTGTGATCCATTAATATCAATAATATTATCATAGTCGTCAACCACCTTCTTCTGAGGCACCAGATTATCAGGAGTAATCCCAACAATAGTAGCTTTGGGAATCCCATTAGGGGATTAGGAAACCCATCAGAAGTGGAAGAGAAAGCCTCTATAATCTTGGAAACACTTTGATGAAGCTCTTCTTAACCTTTTAACAATGGTTTGAAGAGTCTCAAAAAGTTGATCCATTTTGTCACTCATAATGTCCATGTCCCGACGAAGAAAATTTTGATTCTGTTTAAAGAGATCCATAAGTCTTCGTTGTTTGGCGCAAGTGCAATACGAATGTAGAGAAGTCGTTGTCGTTGTTTCTGAACTCTGAATGAAAATAAGGGCCCCAATAAGCCTCTGATACAAACAATGAAATGCATGATATTTTGAGTGCACGTGTCATCCTTCACTTCTAAAAAACTCAAAGACTAGTCAATCCATAAATATTCTTTTTGTGATATTTCTCTTGGAAAGCTTAATTGGAGGAGACTTGTATTTGGAATTCCATAGAAAGTAGATGTATATACATAATGGTAAATGGTGTTATGGTATGCAACAACCATGGGATCAAGGCTCCATGGAATTGGGATAACCATTGTACTATTTCCGAACATGCCATATATCTCTAGATCAAGGATCTGGAACATAACCCAAAAGAACCTCATGAACATCATATCAGAAACTCAGAAAATAAATTTGAGGCCTGCATAGTCACTGATAGAACAAGTCACCTACATAATAGGTCACAAATCGTACCTGTAAAGATTATTCCCTCCTCACTCATGGGTAAAGACTTGGTCAAGGTAAGGTCATGGATAATCAGAATCATAGGTCACCTGAATATATTATCATCATGCACATCTGTGATGCTGACAATACCTCACTTGAACCTCAACTGATCGTGGATTCATGATCGGATGGTGACAGGGTATACGCCTATCAGTATGGGTATTGGGCCTTTTACTTCTTGTAATACCCACCTAAAGAGAGACAAAGAAACAACAATACCACCAGCATATGGAAAGTGATAAAATGCATGTATAAACATATGCAAGCAGTGTATATAAAGATGTAAATAATTGGAAGTAAATAAACACCCAAAGCAGTAAACAAACAAGAGCTAGGTTCGACTCCGGGATGGACCAACAATAGGTCAATTTGTCCCTAGTGAAGTCACCAGCTGAAATAACTAGTTGAAAATCATCAAACAATAAATTCGTCATCGAACATATTTTATCCCACATGAAGGGAAAGGTGAACATCGAGAAAACCTGAGAGGGGAGAAGTCACAATCTTGCAACCGGGAGATTGGGTAAGGGAGTTTGTTATGAGAGCGGAAGGTATTAGCATCCCGCACGCCCATAGTACTCTACGGTATCCACTCTTGTTATCTATCTTATCGGTGTGTCTAATCTATGTATACTGCTTACTACTGAGGAAGAATGCATGCAAAAGAAATGCGGGGAAAAGAAGGAAGTATTTACAAATTTTTCTCGGTTAGGCCGCGCGACCTATTGCCTATGTATCCCTTTCAAGGAATAAGAGTGTCGTAGTTCGGCTCACGTGTTTTGGTTTGTTTTGTTTTTTTTAATAGAACAATGCTAAGCTTTGCATTCTACTGTTGGTCGACCCTGGAATTAAAAATGCCCAAAGGAGGATAATGTTTCATACGCAACTTTTTGGCAAATAGACATGGGTGCAACCTGACCTTTAGGATGTACGCGTTGTACCGTCTAATGTAGAATTAACATATCCTTTTGAGAGTTTTGATGAAAGGCCCAAAGGAAAAAAGAGTTTGGATTAATTGATGTTTTTTACCTTGAAAAAGCGTTTTTGTATTATTAGTGTTTTTGAATTTTGAAACCAAAAGAAGGGTTTTAGTTTTAATGCATATGCAAAAGAGGAAGAAAATTCTAAAAGGGAAATGTATACCTACGTTAGCATACCAAAAACATAGTGGTGAGTATAACTATCCTATATGGAACATGAAAAGGGATTAAAGTTATTATCTCAATTCTAATTGAGTGACATCATCCGTCATTAACAAAGGGAAACGGTAAATTCCTAAGAGAGCATGCAAAGATCGAAGTCGTTATCTGAATTCTAATTGAGTGACATAATCAATCATCAACAAAGAAAGCAATGAAATCCTATGGGGAGCCTGCAAAGGTCAAAGTCGTTATCTCAATGCTAATGGAGTGACATCATTAGTTGTCAAAATATGAAAACAAACACAAGAAAATTAAGAATACAAATGCAAAATGCCTGCTACAGGTCTTTAAATAGTGACTTCGAGTGCACACTCTTTCCTACTTCTCATGACATCTAGAAAAGCGATAAAGCAAGCATCTCTATTCCTACTTCTCATGGCATCAGAAAGCGGTAAAAAGTGCAAGAGATGAAAGGAAGTAGTTGAGAATACCAATCAAACACAAGTTCGTCACTTAGCAGATGAAAGAAAAGAAACCCATAATACTTCGTGCAAGCTTCACTAATCAAAGAAAAGAGTCAGGGATATGATGTCTGGAATAAGTGTCTAAGCATCATCAATGTGAAAATAAATCACAATCGAAAACTCAAGCATATCCATACATCACATAATAAGCCTGTATAATACTCAAATCTTGACACGCAAAAGTGAATCACAAATATCAAGTAATCGAATGATCAAGAATTAATTCCAGAAATTAAATAAGAAAATCAAACAAATTTTTATTGATTTTGTCATTTTTATCATGTGGAGAAAACTCAAACAAATCTAAACAATTAATAAGATTATTCAAAGGAAATTTCAAATATAATAAGCTCAGGAGGGTTGCAACTCTGATAGTGGTACTTCAAGCCAATAGTGATGCGCAAAGCCCATACTGAATGAGACTCAACAATCTATTTTTGTAGAAAGGCTCCAGCATAACAAAATCTTAATGGGCTAGGCAAGGGTGGAAACGACCCGGTCTAAAACATAATATCCATATCCACATTTTGTTTATCCTTTTTATTGTTATCATTAAAATAAAAATAAAAAGAATTAAAGTGAAGAAAGCGTAAAACAATAATGTTTTAGGGTGCTAGGGTTCAAGTGTTTGTGTCTTCTCATCTTCTACGATACACAAATGAACTCTTTCTCTTCTTCTCTTTCAGAGAACGACGGTGCTTTCTTTCTCCACCCTCTCCGATCTAAAACACCGTCATCACAACCATCATCCTTATCGCCATCTTGTTTGCAGCGATACATCGCTCAGGCACCCAAAATCTAACGGAACATGACAGAAAGAGAACTGAGAATTGAAGCGCTATGGTGCATAGATTCACGACACCCATTTAAATTTATGTTTTAGCAGGCCAAAATGAAATACATAACAAAGAGCTCAATGCAAAGAAATGGCTAAATGAGGCTTACCAACCGGAGAACGATTCGGTGCGTCTTTGACAGCGGCGATAATAATAGAAATCGAGTGATCTTAAATTTCTTATTCAGGTGTGCATACACCACTCAATTCCTAGTTTTGAACTCTTTGTGATTCTTCTTCTACTTCTATGTTGCATCATTTTATTATTGTTGTTGGGTTATTGAAGAGAGCGAATGAGTGTGATGCAAGGATTTTATTGAAGCAACATTGGTGATGATTGATGAATTGCTACAAAATTCTTGATGATGATTGAAGAAAATTGCAAGTTGTTGATGAATGTGATTACAGTGATAAATAGTGCGCGTCTGGGATTTTTTTTCCAAAATGGTGAAGAGTGTTGAAGATTGAAGCCGAAAGAGAGGTTTGAAGGTGAAGAATGGGTTCACAGAAAAAGATGAATATTGAAAGTGGAGGATGAAGATAATTAATGATGCGTGTGTTGAGAGAGAGGGAAGAGTAAAGTCTGTTAGAGATTATTCAAAGGATTTTTTATATGAAGTTCAGAGATTGGGGGTGAAAAAGTGGTGGTTCAGATGGTAGAGATGAGATAGATTGAAGGTTGAAGAAATATGGATGATGAAAAAAGGAAGCGTGGGGAAGTGGTGATTCTCTAGGAAAAAAATGTGAAGAAGAGGGACTATTGTTGAAGGATGAAATTTATATAGTCGATTAGAAGCTATAAAAGTTGGTTAGAGGTAAGTAGATCTGAACTCTTGATCTTAAATTTCAGTTATGGATTCAATGGTTAGTTTGAGGTTTGTTAGAAGTAGTTTGAAATTACGTTAGTTGGTTTGTTAGGTTTTTTGTTATGACAATAATGGGATGAGCTGGCATAGTTAGTTTAGAAGTTAGTTAGACTTGCGTAATATCTATTATAACTGTTAAACTTGTTAGTAACAGTTCAAAAATTAAGGTTAGTTATAGGTTTGTGAAAACAGTTGGTGGATAGAAAACAGTTAGGTCTGTTAGAAATCGTTAGTTACAACTTGGTTTGTTTTTAGCCATTGGATTGGAAGTAATTATTTAAAGAATAAATGATCAAGATTTATTCGGTTGGGGAAGTTAAAATTCTGTTATGATGAGCTGGAGGTTTTGTTTGAGGTTCTATTAGTAGTGACAAGTTAGTTGAGTTGAATTTAAGTGAATTAGATTCCAACTTGTGATGTTTCCCTTGTTCCACTGTTTTCCTTTTTTGAACTTGCATATGTTCTTGAACTTATATGAGCTGTTGGACATGTTAATATTTGGAATTTCTCCATTTCTGCTCTTGTTTTTGAGTTTATGTGGATGCTGTTTTTGAATCATGGACATGAGATGTGAGTATTAACTTGTATGCTAACATTCTCGTTGCTCCGATGTAGGTACTACAACTGCTTCTAAGGGGTGTTATAATGCTAGAATCTGAAGAAAACTGCATGTTAATTGATGCATCAATCTTGATGATAATGGTTTGTAGTTATTATGAGATAAATGCCAAATTCTTTCAGTTATATACTCGTATGGTTGGAGTTATCCAAGTCTCATAGAGTAGTTGTTTGTACAAAGGATGAAGAGGTAATGCGTCTAAACCAATTCTGAATTGTACCCCCATGTACATGTATCACACTTAGCTTGAATTTGAATTGGCAGCACAGATATGTCGTAGTCATGTGCATCAGATTTATTCTTGAAAGTTGTAGGTCTATATTTAAATGAATTATGTGAATGTTGTTATAGACGTGATGATGATTGAATAGTTGAGTGATGACATGAATTGAACCTGATGCTAGATTTTTTCCCTTTTGTTGAATGCAGGTTTCTATGGGCGAGGCAACACTATTGATGACCTTTATGCATAGCAAGTTATAATAAACACAAGTGTCCTTAGTCAAGATAGTGTAGATCACATCTCTTGTTGCCAAATTGCAAAACTCATGAGGCATAGTGGAAGAGAAATGGGCAGTCCTAGGACTAAGTTTCAATTTGGAAGTCACACAAGATTCTTTTTGTATGGAGGAATATAGTGTAATGGTTTAAAATGTTTCTTCTTGAATCTATATTGTAATCTGACCGCATATTGATTGAATAAAATGCCTTAATTTATGGTAGAACTCAGAATGACTCGTGGTGAACAATGCTTGAAGTTTTTGAATGGGATTGGGGGATGAACTTATTTGAGTCATACTCTCTGTTCATACACACAACAGAAGCAACACTGACAAGTTTCAAGAAGATTATGTAAAACGGAATCACCAACAACAATAAGTTGTGTACACAATAATCGCAGCAACAAGTTCCATCCGACAATCTGTTATGCATCCATAGTTCTCAACCTGTAACCACACCCACAACATCCTTCAACACCTCCTTGAACCTTCAAAATCGCAAAATTAATGACACCTCAATAACATAATAACCTTTAACGACTCAGACGTGTGTTCGACATATGAAAATCAAATGCAACAATGGTCCGAGTCTGAGCATTCTCATTGAAATAGGAACAACAATAATCCAGTTGCAACACTCAACATCAACGCCGACCTCAACACTTACCACAACAACACGCACAAGCTCATAGCCAATAAAACAACACAACACAAATTCCAGATGCATTGTTTTAACAAAACTCAGCAGAGAAGAAGAAGACGAACTGCGACACGGTAATAGAAACAAGAAAGTAAGGATTTTTCTCATTTACCTTTCCGATTTTATTCTGCTATCTATTCGCGTTTTGTGTTTTACCATTACGTTTCTTGATCATTTGTTTGAATATGTCTACATAATCGTGTCTTGATTTAGTTATTGTTTGTTCGGTGAGAGGATAGAAAGATGATGAATTATTTAGAGGAAAATCGACCGAGATTTTTTTGTTGAACCATGAGAATCACATTTGATTTTTTGGATTTTCGAAGGGAAAGCGTGAGAACAACAAAGAGAATTTATTCCTCTGCTTTCATGATAGGTTTTTGTTTTGATTTTCTAGGGTTCTTTGAAACCGCTGGTTTTAGAAGGAAGGGTGAACTTTGGGTCGACTCGATTTGGCCCAGGTACGCCATTTTTTATTTATTTTAGATGATTCTCTTTCCCTTGGGCCTTACTAAATTGGTCTACCCTCCAGCCTATTTCGAATATGTTAGCTACACCACTTTAATTATGTATCACCCTTTTGCTTTAATTTATTTAGTTTTTATTTTCTTAATTTATAATTTTTTTAATTAGTTTAATTTTATTTTTAGCTTTATAATTTTTAATTAATTAATTTAGACTTAACTTTATGAATTTATTTTTGTTTATTTAATCATTTTAATTTGCTTAGTCACATTTCTTTACTTAATAAAAATCATAAAAATAGAATTAACGTTTAATTTTCTTTTAATTTTCTATATATGATAAAAATACCAAAAATATTAGAATTAGGTTTTAATATCTTATTTTCACAAAAATCATAATAACATTATAGTATTATTTTCTTTTATTTATATGATAAAAATCATAAAAAATATTAAGGACTTAATTTCTTTGTTTGATTATTTGGTGACATGTTTTCTTAAGTAATTCCATGAAGTGTTTAAATTCATTTTGATCGTTTCGTGTTGAATAAGACCTTAGGAAAGAAACCATACAATGATAACATTTTAGGATAGAATTTCCATTTTACACTCAACATTGGGTTCATCTTTGTACATGACAACATTAGGGTAGAATTCCACCTTAGACTCTTTCTTCTTTTGTAATTAAAACAAAAACTTCTTTCTTTAATCAAAAAATCCAAAAACACTTAATCATTATTCAAACCCATTTCATACTTTACAAAAACACTCAACCAATAAAACATAAAAAGGGCATGTTATCTTTGTTCTACCGCGATACAGGTCGTGCATATTGCTAGAATGCGTGCATTAATGTTGCACACTAAAAAACACCAACAAACCAATATTTTCTAGAAGAACTACGGTGTTCTGATTCCTTCATGGGATACGTAGGCAAAGGGTTACGAGACCCTCACAAACTCACTAATAAAAAGCCATTTCATTCCCCTTAGAAAATATAGTTTTAGATAAACACACCCTTAGAAGCAAACAATCAAAATGGACCCCGTTGAGTACAACACATGTGATGGGTGCTAATATCTTTCCCTTGCATAATATACTTTTGTAACCTCTCTTTTGGTCGCAAGACCATCTTATCCATCCTCTTGTGGTTTTTCCGATATTTCCCCTTCCTTCGGGATAAATAAAGTTCGGTGGAGACTCTGTTTTTTGCTGGCAGCTTCAGCTGTCGACTCCGTTGGGGACTATGAAACTCTATCCTACTTTAGTTTATTTATTTCCTTGGGTGTTTATTTATTTACTTTATTTGCTTTATCGCTTTATTTCTTTATTGCTTTATTGCTTTCTTTTGTATATATTGCATTATAATGTTGCTACTCACATATTCTGGATATGTTGTATCTTTTGTGATGTTCGGTTGGGTGATTACATTTGATAAGTCCTATATTCGAACTTTGGGTTACACTTAGGATTAGGACGGGCGGTATAGTCATGTTAACTTTGAGGGAGTAATCCCTAAGAAGGAGGCATGAGATCCCCCACTCAGTGGAGGTCCCCTTGAATGTAGCATTGTTTACCGAGTAATCGGGAAGACATTATTGCTTTCGACCTGGGAGCCAGAGAAGCTGAGAGCCGTAGACCCATTAACTCATCCTGCCCTTTTTAGGTGTAGTGTGGAGACTATGACGAAGCAATTCGAAAGTAGTTGTCATGCGATGCTGCACTCGGACGAGTTTTTCCTGCGAATATTACTAATTACTGAGTAATTAGGACATTTGTAATATCCAAAGGAAGAGCGTGGACTCTGAGATTTCCCTAGAACCTTGTTCGGCAGGTGATAAACCTCTAGTACATACCTTATGGGTGGTTACCTTGATTCCATGCCTGTGATGTTGGACCTTTGATCCTATTACGTTCAGTTTATGCAAAGGACTACGCAGTGGTTATCCAGAATATGTGGAGCTGAGACCTCATGCCATAGCATACCATGACATCATACAATCATGTATATACATCTCATATCTAAGGAATTCCAAAGACAAATCTCATTGGTTGAGCTTTTCAAAAATGAAAATTTTATTAAAAGATAGACGAGTCTTTGGATTTCCTTGGAAATGAAGATAAAACATGCATTCATACTATCATGCATTCATTATGCACAACAAAAACATATTGGGGTCCCTTTCAATCAGACTTCAGTGAACAGCGAAGACGACTTCCCTACATCCTTATCGTACAAGAAGTAACCAGCGAAGACTTATGGATCTTTTCGAAGATGATCATAATACTCTACATCGAGATATGGACACCATGGGCACTCGAACGGATTATCTTATTGAAACCCTTCATGCTGTTATCAAGGGTCAAGAAGAGTTGCATCAAAGTGTCTCCATGATTGCCACTACTTCACCCTCCACTTCTGCAAATGAAAGGAATAATAATGTGAATGTTGATACCCCTAAGGGAATTCCTCGGAATGATGTTGATGATCATCACGATGTCATTAATCTTGATGATCCCCACACCAATCTTGCTGCTAGAGTTGTTGAAACTACAAAAATGTACCAGGCTCTTGAAGAACGTCTGGAAGTTATGGAAGGTATCGAGACTTCGAGATTTAATACTGCTGCAATGTGCCTCGTATCGGGGGTAGTTATTCCTCCCAAATTAAAAGTTCATGATTTTGACAAATACAAAGGCACCTCCTGCCCAGAGACTCATCTTCGTTCTTATTGTCGCAAGATGGATGCTTATGTTGAAAATGAACCGATGCTCATGCATTTCTTCCAAGACAGCTTGACAGGGGCATCGTTGGACTGGTATATGCAATTAGAAAGAACTCATGCCAATACTTGGGGGGGGGGGAGCTTGTTGATTACTTTTTGAAACATTACCATACCGCCATGTATCATAGCCGCACTCAGCATCAAGGGATGACACATAAATCAGAAGAGTCCTTCAAAGAGCACGCCCAAAGATGGTGTGGATTAGCCGCAAGAGTTCAACCTCCTCTCTTGAATAATGAATTGAGTTATTTGTTCGTGGTCACCTTGTAAGACCCATATCTCCAACACATACTTGGTAGTATTTCGACTTTCTTTTTTGACTTGGTTATTATTGGGGAATGTATTGAAGATGGCCTTAAGTCAAGAAAAATTCAGGTGACATCTAGCGCTATTAGTTGAAGTAACAAGAAACCTTGCTTTAGCCTTATCAAGAAGAAAGAATGAGAGACGAGTGATACTATCAATAAAGGGAAGAATCTGGTATATCATCAAGATCAAGCTCTGCACCGTCAAGCATCAGTTGTTCATCCTAATCGATATGTTCCTCGAGCATATGCTGCAATTTCGGCTTAACAACCTAGGGTGGCTAAGAATCAGTCAATCCCTCATCAACAGTAGTGCATACAGAGATAACTGTATGCTCATCAAACATGATATGCGCCTTATCAGCTGAACCAATAACCCTAGGGGAAACGAGGACGAAAAAGGAAGAGAGGTCCCGAAAGATGGGTGGATCCTATACCTATTCCTTATGTTCAACTCCTCCCCCATTTGTTAAAAGGCCAGTTAGTCCAGCTCAGAGAACTTGGTCCACCACCAAATCCTCTCCCCCAGGGTTATGATGCCAGTGCTTGTTGTGAATTTCATTCAGGGGCTCCAAGGCACACAATTAAGAATTGCAGGGCATTGAAAAACAACCTTCAAGACCTCTTTGATACCAAAGCTATCACATTCACTCCAAAGGGTCTGATAATGGATTGATTCCTCTAGCTAAGACAAGTGTCAAGACTACAAGAGTGTCTCCTCAAATAAG